TTTAAAACATAAACACCACCTAGATTTTACATTTTAAAATTAATAAGCTTTACTCTTAAGAGTAGTTTTAGTTTTACTGCAAAATTGAGCAGCAGGCACAGAAAGTTCCAGTATACAGGCTGCCCCCTCACATGCATAGTCACCCCTACTGTCACCAGTCCACACCAGAGCCGGGAATTTGCTGCCATCTGGCAACCTACGGTGACACACCGGTACGGCTCAGAGTCGTAGCTTACATTAGAATTCACTCTTCCTGTTATACATTCTCAACCTATTATTTTACCGTATTTGCTTATTATTTTTTCATTTTAAGAGAAAAACATTATATATCCAGTGAAGGCCCTTTCAGAAGGCATGCACCTGTGCACGCACGCGCACATGCACACACACACACACACACACACACACACACATACGGCTGCCTGTTCCCCTTACACTCTCCATGTTTTAAAATGCAATTTTACTGTGTATGTAGGTAATGTGTACTACAGTCCTATGATTTCTTAAACTTTCAGTGGCTTTCTCTACTGAGTGTGCTGAAAGTTGGCATAAAGGATATTGTATTATATATAATTTTGTAACTTGCTTTTTTTTCACCTGACATTTTCATGATAAATCCATGCTGTTAAATGTCAATCTAGTTATTTGAATGAAAAGAATATTCTATTCTCTGACTACATCAAGATTTATTGATGTTTCTGGTAATGGATATTTACATTTTTGCTTTTTCTGCATTTATAAACAATACATGATGTTTCTTGTGCACACATAAGTCATGTGCCAGATTTCATTAGGTTATATATACCGGGGTGGGGGTAGAAGATTTAAGATTTTAAGGTACATGTATCTTCACTTTTTTAGGCATTGGGAAATTGTCTTCCATGTCGTTGTACCAATTTATGCTCTCACCAACAGTTGGCATTGTTAAACTTTAAATTCCAGTCTTTCTGATAGTTTGAAAAGTGAATGCTGTTTTAACTTGTGTGTCTCTAATTATGAGTTAAGCTGAACATTTTCAAATATTACTAGCCATTCAGGTGTCTTCTTTTAAGAACTGCCCTGTTAATTTCCGCTTATCTTTCAATTGGACTTTAAATCTTTTTCTCATTGATTTAGGAATATAGGAGTTCTTTTGGGTATTTTGGCTACTAATCTTTTATCTGCTGTTTGTGTTTCCAGTATCTTTCTTGATTGATGGCTTGTTTTTATCTTCATTTATGGTGTCTTACGGCACACAAATTTTAAATTTTAATATATCACATTTAGCATTCTTTATATTTATGGTTTATATTCTTTGTGTCTGTATTTTTTAATTAAAATATCAGTGATATACAATCTTATGAAGGCTTCATATGAACAGCATTGTGGTTTCAACATTCACCTATATTCTCAAGTCCTAACCACCCCCATTGCAGTCACTGTCCATCAGCATAGTAAGATGCCATTATACTCTTTGTGTCTATATTTAAGGTTATTTCTATAATGTATAAGTATGATTATTTAGTAAAAACAAACATTTTGGTAAATGTAAAGAAAATTTGGAGCTCTTGATCAATGATCATGTTGCTTTCCAAAACTGCTGAAGACTTAATGTCCCTGTCATCAATGCATGAGAGTAACTGATTTATTATATTCTTGAGATGGTTAATTAGGTGTCAGATGGCCCAGGCCACCCAGATATTTTCTCATATTTATATTAACGACACTGTAGGGGTATTTTTTACATAAGATAACATTTAAATCAGTATGCTTTGAGTAAATGGATTGCTCTTCATAATGTCAGTGGGCCTCGTCCGACCAGGTAGAGGTCTTAAGACAAAGTCTGAGCTCCCCCAGGAGAGGAACCTCTTCCAGCTCTCCCTTCAGGCTCCAGCTGCAGCGGCGTCTCTTCCCTGGGCCTCCGGCTTGCCCGGGGGCCTGTGGACTCGACTTACCAGCCTCCGCAGCCACATGGAACCAATACCTTAAAATAAATCTCTCTAGATAATTCCCTCCTATTGCTTCTGTTTCTCTGGACTCGAATACAATTCTGCTACACAAGTTTTATTTTCCATGTAAGTTAGATATATGCATGGCCCACAGTCATTCACAGTTAATACGAGATGTCAGGCTTTCTGATTTCAATCTTCTGTTTGGCTCATGTTTTATTTCAAGTGTAAGAGTCACTTCCTTCTGCTCCTTTTATCACCGTATTTGTCTTTGCCTTGACTTGGCTGACATTTCATTTGGACGGACTTCTTATAAAACTATGTCCCTATCCATAGAGGTTTTATATTTGGAAAGTTTATGTCCATCTATCAAATCTCCTTATATTACTCTGAATTATCAAATCATTGGCATATGCAATCAATTTGCTAGAGTACATTTATGTTTTGTTATTTTCCAGTAACCTCGTGGTGGTGTTCAAATAAAATAGTACCTTATGAAATGAAAAACAATTTCGAATTATTTAATTTAAAGCATTGGGTGAATACGGTTCAAGGGAAAATTTTGATATCAATAAAGACAGCAGTATAGCTATTTTTGGATTTTGGATTTTTCTAAAGAGTATTTTAAAAAAGCATCTTCTGTCACATTCTGTAGGTGACTCCATCTTATGGGAATGTGTAGAATAAAACCATTTCCTGATCTATATAAACTATTTTCAGGTTTAATTTGATCCTTTCTTTAAGACATAGTTTGAAAGGCATAATGAGCTTTCAATAAACAATCTCATGGATCGAAAATGGGAAACATGCTATTGTTGCAGCTTCCACTGTAACCAAACCAGCCTTATTCACATTCTACACCAATAGCCATTCATGAGACAAAATAATTGCTGATAGCAACAGAAATATTTTTAAACTGCTCGCTTCTTTTTATTCACATCTGTTCGGTATTTGAATAAATTTTCATTTTGTTTTAGAACATGTGTTTAACTGTATATTAAGTAGCTAGGGTCCGTGTGTGTGAATAAGGAAGAGAAAGAACAGAGAACCTGGAGTCTTTCGCGGTCCCGGAGCCTGGCACGCCCACGGTGACCCGTGGTGGCCTTCGCCTGATGGGATGAAGCTTAACAGAACTCTCCATCAGTGTCCCGAGCACATCTGTGTGCCTTCTCATCTTCAAATCATGATGTGTTATTCTTAGAAATACATGCCGGCATTAAAAATAGACCCTTCATTACCAAGCACAGGACTTGATCATACAACAGTGAAAACTGCCTTTTGATTTTAATATTTATACGATCCAAATGTCCCACGTGAAAAGATGACAATGATTTGAGCAATAAGCTGCTTTTTACTCTTATTTTTATGGAGCAGTAACTATAACCAAGGCTCAGGAAATCTGAAATAAAAGTCTTCATAAAACACAAAAGCTTAAGAAAAAAAGAGCCGCTCTGTAATTCCAGTCCTAAATTTATTTCTTTCCCTGAAAATGACTTTCTCCTGTAGGGACCAAGGCTAATGCCGGCCTCGGGCTACCCTGGCTTCCTGCCCCTTCGCCACCAGCTTTGGGCCCGCCGTGCCCGCCTTTCAAGCAGAAAAGCTCTTACGAATTTGAGTGACGTCATTAGTAGGGAGAATCTCCTGAAGCTGCAGAATGCCCGATACTTTTTTGGAAACGTCCCATCAACGGTGTCATTTCACCAGGACAGACTCAATTATATTTTCTCCTTTCCTTTTTTTCAGATGAAACAATCGAAGCCAAGAACAGCTCCTCAAACATCTCACCGCTGAGTCGATCTGGATTCCACTTTCATCCCTCATGCGCCAAAGCGCCCCCCAAAGCAAGTCTGCCGGAGTAGCCACAGGATGCGGCAGCTGGATTCTTCCAGAGTGAATGGTCCAAGAGAGAGCAGCCAGAAACCACAGTGTGTTCTCGACTGGCCTGAGAGGTAACCCAGGGTCACCCAGCACTAATCCACTGATTACACGGAGCATTCCGTGTGAAAAGGGACGGCGGGATAAGGGTATAAACACCAGAAAGTGGAAATCTCTGGAGATCATCTTGGTAGGCTGGCGAGCACACCGTGGATGTCACAGACTCTGTCCTGTTCAGCAATATCCCTGTCAGAAGGAAAGTGCCTGACGACCAATTAATGTTTGATTAATAGCAGACTCACTAGAAGACTTGTCTCAGGTTCTGAGTTGGTGTCCATGTACATGTGTGTGTGTGTGTGTGCACGTAAAATTCCTAACTGGACGCCATGCAAGTGGGTTCCTTTCTAGCTTTGTCCCTGCTTAGTCATGTGACCTTGGATAAATCACTTGACCTCCATGATCTTTACTAGCTTTATCTATGAAATAGATATAATACCTATTTTGAGTCATTTGCATATTTGTTGTAAACATTATGTAATAGAAACTTAATTTGACTGGAGTTCAGGAAACCAGGCTCTAGATTCAAATCTTGTGGTTTTTAAATTACGTTACATTAGTCCCAACCCTCCAATTTCTCTTTGATAGAACAAATAGGGTAAATTACATAAGCTATAATGTTCTTCCAAGCCTCAGATTCTGCCATTTTTATGGCTCAAACAACAATATGCTATGTTAGTCTGATGGCACTTTAAGAAACAGTATTGTGTGCTTTAGCTAAGGAACATTATTATTACTACCAAAAGAGTCAAAATGTAAGTCACCCTGTCACTAAAGAGCTGCAAGGGATTTTAATTGAGGCGATGGGGCAGGTCATCCTGGTAAAGCCACATGTTGTTAGAAGTGGTCCAGGAGACAGTGGGGGGAGGGACTGGCAACTCCTGGCACACCTGACTTCAGTCAAATATGCAGCTGCTCTGACTTCTCAGGCCCCTTTTCCACTGCAGCCTTGCCATTGACCTCTCCTACTTGTGATTTGAGGGCCCAGAGAATTCAAGAAAATGAGAGGAAAACTTTTTCACCAGGGCCCAAGAGGGCACCCTTGCACCTTCCTAGAAATGAAGGAGAAACAGCGCCAGCTACAGGTCAGCCTTGGTATGCAATATTGTGCGTACTATAAATACACACTTTCATTTTGGAATTCTAGTCAGCCCCCTTCAGTCCCTGCACAGACTCACGGATTGCAGCCAAGAGCAATTTCCCCCTCGAAATGGTAAGAAATCTTCTAGAAGCCACCAAATCACTAAATGCTAAGACTCCTCACTCACAGGATTTCATTCAAAGTCTTCCTGCTTTTCTCTGAAAACCTACTAATTGGAAGTCAGCAAGAGCTGAGGCAATACACCTACCATATTTGTACATCAATCATTTCTGTCTCTTCAATGTCATTTTGAAAACTAAGATTTGTAAGTTTTACAAAAACAATTTGTTGATTTGAATGGAGACAGATATCCTAACTTTTAGATCTCTCATTGATTGCTTTTCTTGCTAAAAACAGCTTCAATCTGGGGCAATCATGACCCATTTGTTCTTCATAGTGGCAATGCGATTAGCAGCACGTTTGCGTGTATACATATGTGGGCGGGCGCTGGCTGGTTTTTGGTTTATGTTGTGACAGAAATGGACACGCCAGAAGGAATTTTAATGTTTGCATCTGATAAGAAAACCACATTTCTCATGCTTCTAAGAACTGAGAAACATCTTTCATTTGTGTTTAGAATAAAATCCGGGATGTAAAAATCTGAACAATGACGTAACTGATGTATTTGAATCAACATCTGTGGGGCAAGACGAACTGTCGTTGATTTGTTTGCGGAACGACACCGTTTAAAGTATAAAGATCTTAATGATTATTCGTCAGCCTTCTTACTAGTTAGTCAGTTTATAATAAGCTTAATAGACCCAAGCCTTTTAGCACAGCTCTGGAACCAGGAATCCAAAGAAAACATTAGGATTCAAAGCAATACAAAACACTGCCAGCAATTGCATTACATGTCTGACATTTGTGATGCTTAATCCCTCAAAGCCACCTTGGACCATGTGTTGAGCCACAGAGAGTGTTGAATGAAAAACCTGAAGGGATTAAGGAGTTATTTCCACGAGAGAAAAACACATTTTCCCTGCTGTTCTTGTTTCAGTGGGGAAGGATTTCCCCTAAACCCTCCTGTCTCCCTTTCACTCCCTTTGCCCCAGGAAGGAGAGTCATTTATTACATTGGAAATTTAATAATAAATTTGGCATCCTCATCTAAATCCACCCTCTATCATCTTTGGGAAAGGCCCTCTGCTCCACAAATCCAATCTGTGGGGCCCCGCACAGCTGGGGAGACCCGCCTGGCCCCAGCATTGCAAGTAGGGTGGGTAAATCTCTCCGAGGCTCAATCAGCGGGACTAGTCATCTCTCCTAAACTACAGCCTTGAAGTTTGTCAATATTTGGGGTTTCCATTTGTCAATCTTTATCTTACATCTTGAGACCCCAACAGTTCCCAACCAACCAATTAACAACCTAGTTATTAGAAATAATCCGGGAAAATTGCCATACACCTTCATATTTCCTACGCCAAGTCCATACTTGAAGCTACATAGCTAAGAAAGTAGCTAAGACAGAAAATGCCCTTGATACCATGTTAAGTGGAAAGAGTAATATAAACATTTCTGTATTTTAGACACTGCATTGAGTGTCCATGTAAACCAACTTTTATGCATATTCATGAGCACTTTTATTGACTTTTATAAATAACTTTTTTCAAGTTTTAATTAGTTCTACTGAAATATGGTGGATCTTGTTTTCAAACCAATAGTGGTCCTAAGCGAAGATTTCCTGCCTTACATACAACCACAGCAGATTTTCTATAGAACATATAGCTCTTTGTTATAATTACAAATAGCAATTTGTTATAATTGAATTTAGATTATTAAATGCAATCTTGGAAGTGAGGTGAAAATTTTATTTAGCCCAGGAGGCAATTCAGGGGGAAAAAAAGTATTTATAAACAGCAAAACGGTTGCTTTATAATCAGCAAATGCATTGTCTACAAGCATGCATTTATTTGTTTTGTCCAGTCACCATAGAGGGAATGAACCTCCTAGATGTTCTTCCTTGTCTGCGTTTCTTTCACCTCTTTGCCCCACACTCTGTCCTGCGCTTTGAGATCATGGGAGGAAATCCCACTTCCATGGCCAGTCTGGCCACTAGTCACGGCCAGGCTGGGGGACTCTGACCTGCACTGAACAGAAGTCAGCCTGGGTTACACAAATCACCGAGGACTTTCTCCGTTCAAGTGCACAAATGAGTCCATGCAAATGCTTTTTCCTTATATTCCCATGGTTAGATTGCTATCTGTTCCCTGAAGCTAAGAGAATCATACACATTCATTAAGGGTGAACTGCCTCTGGTATTACATTGAAATGAAAAGAATTATTTTCCAAAGGAAAGTTTTATGTCACTAGCCACTGAGTGTTTCTATTACACTGTAATTTATTAATAATTTTACATTTTTAGCCTCTACTCTGTCCACAGGCTAGTTAGAAATGATCAGTCTCTTTTAGTGTCCATATATCTTGAATCCATGAGTGTGTGTGTGTGTGTGTGTGTATGTGTGTGTGTGTGTGTGTAAGAAATAGGTGTAAAGTGGGGGCCCTAATTCACACTTAGCTTAAATGCCCATATTAGAGCCTTTTCAGCTTCTTCCAAAATCCACCCCAGCGTCTAAATGTACGTTCTCAGGCTTTCCCTGAGAATTCGCAGAAGAGACTCCTCATGCAGAGCGCTCCTGTCTCCTGAGCTCCTCAGATAACAACTTCATTCATTCGTTAAAAGCCACTGTAGCTCTCTTTTCCTTAACTTTTCAGACTGTAACAAGGAAGGGTGATAGATCTACACCTTTCTTGATGAGTCTGCATCTGAAACTACTAATTGGTTTTGGAATTACAAGCAAGACCAAGCAGAAACCTTTAACATTATTTGTTTCAGGGGGAAGTGGCAGGATGTGGCAGGACCCAGCCAAGAACGGAAGGAAAGGGGAAATGAATACATGGAAGATGGTCTCTGGATGAAGCAGTGAAAGTAGAAATGAAGTGATGAAGACCTTTCATCACGGAGGTAAGTGATTTTTAATTTCCTTGGACTTGAAGGAGAAACACAGAAGCAGTTATCTATTTGGTTCACTGGGTCAAGATTTTCATTTCTTTCCTTTTATTATTAATATTTGTTATGAAAGGAATATAAAACAACATTAAAGGAATTCTTAAACATGAAAAACACTGTTACCAATTATCCTAACACTGCACTTTGGTGTCACTCCCCCAAACCACCCTCTTCTGCTCACAGACCACCTCTAGTGCCCATTTAAATCTCCCTGTATTTGTTTCCCCAAGTTCAGCCTGGCGGAGCTCAGCTATTTTACTTCCAGTTGCATGCCCAGCCTCCTGTATAGTACACACCACATAGTAAGTATGTAATACATATTTTTGAATAAAGATGAATGGATGAATAAAGTTCCTATTAATTATTCATCCTTGCAACACGCATCTTCAGGTCTGTCCGGGTCATAGATACAAATGACAACATTGAAGCCATCACACTGACTTTCTCCAGCTCTGAGGCCCCATCTGCTCAAGCAAGAGTTCTTGGTTCCTAAAACGTCCCTCTTAAATTATTAAATTCCCCAGATTCTCCCTGGTCTCAGGTGCAGGTCAGCCATCCCAGCCCCGGGCTCTTATTGCCACCTGGAGGGAAAGAAATACATCCTTCCTCCCTCTCTCCTTCCCTCCCCTCTCTGCCCCACACAAGCCCACTAGGGCTCTGAAAGGCTATGAAGCTGACCAGGCGAGCAGCCGGCTTCCTCCCGCAGTAACCTCACGGCGGCCGATAGGGGCCAGGCGGGCAGCCTGCAGGAGCCCCCCGGCACGAGCAGGTTCTAGAGGGAGACAGCTGTGTTCCGGCCCTGCTGCCAGCTTTCACACCTATGAGTTGAGGAAACCAGTCCGCCCATCACTCTGGTCCTGACAGGGACACATGTGATGTGCTGGGGGCTTTTCCTGTCGCTCTTCATTTGTTTTGGTGTTTTCCTGTCACTCTGTTCAAGCACAGTCTTTGGGATTTCCCTTTTCAGCACCTTGCTGTCTCTGGAGACCCCATAGCTTTCAGGTCCTTTTGACATATCAGAGTAGCAGCATTCAGTTGGTCTCATTTTAAATTCCACTCTCCTGTTTGCCTTCCCCACAGTCTGGGCTTCCTCGCTGGCCTGTGGGGTCCACAGTTCCCGAGAGGCAATGGTCTGCTCCTTCCCTCCTCCGACCAGCCTTCCTATGAACTATCATGTGGGAAGAATAAATAGGAAAGTGGCAGGTTCTGATGGAGCTCGTTGCCTGTTCATGGGAGAAGCTGACCCAGAACTTTGCCCACTGAGGTCTCCAACAGTATGATCCTCTGAAGGGATATTGCACATGACTTCACCTTCACCTTGACCTCTTTGACTGGAACCTTTCAGAGAGGACCGACTGCACCTCCCTTTCGGCTTCACCAGGGATCTTTGCCTGTGAACCCCCCCTGGAGTGGGGCATCCTCCTGCCTGGCCATCTGCTGCCTGAACAGCTGTGCGTCTCCTACCTCTTACTTTTAGGTACCTTCTTGTAGAGCCACAGGAACCCCTGAGGTCCTTGGGTGGGCCCTCTGATGGATGGGAGCTTTTCCCCATTTCCTTCTCCCTGCCCAAGACCCGGTTCCCACCCATTTCATGATTCAGCCTCTCTAGTGCGGCGTCTGCCTGATGGAATCACCAGGTGAGGAATCAGTACCTGCCTTCATGTTCTCGTTTCGCCCCCTAACAGTAGAGCCCAAGCATCAAGGTCTCCCCAGATGTCCCTCACCTTCTGTCCCAGGGGCTGACCAGGCTGGCACTGCCAGTTCTGTGGCTCAAAAAGCGTTGGGTAAAGAATTAGATGCCTGGTGTCCCCTTCCTGCAATCAGTTTCCTCTTCAAACTTCTCTCCGGCCCCTCTTGAAAGGAGAGCTAGGTGTTTATGAAAATGCGTGCTCTCACTTGCAAGGCACACATGTGTCTCTGGGAGACACAACCCAGCCACAGACTCCACACCCCAGCCCCGCCGGCATGTAGGGGGGATGATATATGACTTGGTCTCACCGATGGAATGAGAATGCAGGTCATGTGTCACCTCCAGGCCTAGGGTTTTAAGGAGCTGGTGATGACCCCTTGCTTTCCCTCATTCTGTCCTCGGATGCAGAGGACTTTGATGTCCTGGAAGATGATCAGGACACAGCACGCAAGGAGCTTTGGTTCCCAAATGACTCCAAGACGAAAGCCTCCCTCTGACCAATAACACACACACACAACTTCATGTGTGCAAGGAAAAAGCCACAGGGTGTTTAGCGTATTTGGGATTCCATTACAGCACCCAGAATTACCCTCACCTAATGCCTAATACACCGGGGAGAGAAGGCAAAGAGTTTTGCGGTGATCTGGAGCTCACAAGGCCATTTCTGCCCCTGCAAATGAGCTGTAGAGCTGGCTAGACACCCTGCCCACCCCCACCTCCTTCCCAAAGATGTATCAGTGTCTCTACACAAAGCTTATCGTAGCTCTCTCTCTTGTCTATTTGGTGAACTTGCCAAAGGCAACATGCCACCCTGGACCCTTCCCATTCCTCCTTCTCCATATTTGTTGTGAGTCTCGATGATTGGGACCAACTATGAACTCCTGTGTTCAACCACTGCCTCTCTGAGAAAGCTAGTCAGGTTCTCATGGGCATAGAATTCCCAAGGACATTCCCTCCCTTGTCAGTCCACCCAAACAATAACGAATATTCATTGATCAGCCTGAATTCAAACCAGCTGTATAGCTAAAACCCTTATGCTGGAGCTACGGTGGGGATTTTAACCTTTAAGTACAGAAAACACTGTGCTCTGATCTTTGCTGTTGTCTCATGATAATCTTCCATGTGTCAACATTGTCTTTCTAATTTTTATTTTAATAGTTCATAAGATTACATTATACAAATTTAAAAAATGCTTAACTGTTCTTTTTTTGATGAGCATTTAGAACATTTTCCATCCAACTTCAGTTTATTTTCACTCACTCAGGAAAAAAATGACTGCCATGGTATCTTCAAGAAGACAAATTATTGACATACGATTAATCCTGGCCCTCTAGAAAAAAATTACCTGTACTAAGTCCTGATTTCCTACCGGATCTCAGAGTATCAGCTAGTGGCTTCCAGGCACTCTAACCTCTGACCGAAGCCATAAAACTATGTGTGGTATGTTAAAAGTTACCCATTTGTTAATAGTAAACTTATGAACAAGAATTTTTCAAACTGTTTCCCTTGCAAATGGAGGACCCATGAGAAGTCCAATAATTGTGGAAATTGCTTAATAATTCAAGTATTCCTAAAAGTTCTAATAGTGTAATACCATGGTTAACTATTAACCTTAATTTTGGAAAAGAAGGTAACGAGGATGCTTGTTGCACTCTATTCCTATCACCACTTGAGTGCTGACCCCTCTCCCTGACCCACTGAACAACTGAGGAGTGTTAATAAACACAACAGGGGACCTTAGGTATGAGAGGCTCTACCAAGTACAAAGACGTGCAGCCCCTGGGTCCAAGATTGGAATCTGCAGGTCTGAGGCCACTAAGGAGAAAGGAGGAGCTGAATCTTCCATGCATGATATTTAGAAAACAGTGCTCTAGGGATCTACAAGGTTAGCTGGAAAAGCAACGCTGAGGACAAAGTCAAGGGTGAAAATGGAAAAATATGTAAAGGGGTCATAATTCCAAAGAACACGGAGTAAGCCAGGATGGAATGTCCCAGGCAGGTATGAGAGGTGACGCAGAGAGGGTACAGTGACTTCAGAGGCTCACCGCCTGGCACTCTCTTAAGAGGTATGATTACAGATCTCTGATAATTTGCATAAAGATAACCTGTTCTGATAAGGTGCTATAAGATCTAGAAAATGCTTTCAAATGATCAAAAACATTTCATCCAAATCTAAGATGCTATCTTGTAGTAAGATGCATTGAATGCTTTAAATGAAATTTTTAATAGAAAACACTGTAAAAATTAAATATAAAAATAAAAATACAAGAATATGCAGAAAATATTTGTACAATTTTAGTCAAGGGAGAGACCTTAAGATAGGTAAGAAACTTGGAAAGTAAACACTGTTATATTTAACTGTGTTCTGTAACACTGTGTGTGTGTGTGTGTCTGTGTGTGTGTGTGTGTGTGTGTGTGTGTATGTGTGTGTGTGTGTGTGTGTGTGTGTGTATGTGTGTGTGTGTGTGTATTATTGCCTAAGAAATACTATGTGTGTTGTTGTTCTAGTTAGGAGGTTGGGCTAGACCACAATGACCACAAATTGGCCCAGAGTAACATAACCCAACATGCTTTGTGCTCACGTCCCAGTATGATGGCCACTGGGCTTCCTCTGTCTTGGAGCCATACCAGGGGGAGCACAGGCGCCTTGGGCCCCACAGCAGGAATGAGAGGGAAGCCACCAGCTGAGGCAGTTAGCAACCATGGCCCAAAGCTCGCCCTGTCCCTTCTGACCAAGTCCACTGGCAAAGTGGTCATCTAGGTCAACTTAACTACAAGAGATGTTGGGGACTGTCGGGGGCGACGAGGGGTTCTTTCAGACACTGTCTCTGGCATAGGGGTAGTTAATCAAAAGGCTTTACTTGGACAAAAATCCTCCAAACACCACGCTGTTTCCATCAGAAGCAAACAGTAGCTGAAGATGTCAACGGACTCTGTGATTGGCATCTGTGCTCCAGCTGCCCAAGGAGATACAGCTTTTGAAAAATAAGCAGCACCTTCTTCTAGCTGAATATTAAAACAAATACAATTAAATTAAAATAATTGCATTGGACCTCACATTGCTTTTAAAGTGTATAGTAACTGCCCCGAGCAAGTTCCTTTTAGATCAGAAGCTCTAAAGACTTGGAGGTAAAGCACAGAAAACAAGGGTAAGGCAAGACAGTCCTCTGTGTCCCACGGGCCCAGGGAGTCTCATTCGTGTGTCCTGGCTGTGAAAAGTGTGGAGTGGGGTCATTCAAAAAGAGGAAGGTGATTGTACCCCTGGAGTTATATAGCACAGCAGCCTCGAGTGGAAACCTGGGAAAACAGTCAGTTTAATCTTTACTGGAAAACATTAACTGCCTTAGGAACTGTCATTAAAGACCTTAAGAAAGGAACAACTGCAAAGTAATATTAGAGAGATTTTTTTGGTTCAAAACCTTCTGTTTGAGATCAGGTGAAAAAAATGAACTAATAAAAGAATTTAGCTGCTGGCCTGAAAATATGAGTAAGCATAGAATTAAATAAATAAATAAAAACAACACACAAACAGCAGTATTTTGGAACAAGGCCAGGAAAATGGGGATTTTAAACAGCAGAAAGCCGTCAGAACTTCCGGGGCCTCACCCCAAGGTGAGCGGGAGGGGCAGACGCTGTCCATCTGAGGCTGCTTCCGCTCCTGTTCGTTACTCTGTCTTGAGTCTTTGCATAAAGTAGTGTCACTAATGTTCACAAATATGCCAGGATTTATGCATCAGAAGAAATGCCACTGTAGTTAGAGTACTCACCTTTAGAGTCTGGGGGCTGATTTGATTGATGCTATCACTGTTCAGATATTTCCAGAAACTCCTCCTCGGAATTGCCTTCAAACTCAGCGTCACATCCTTTTAATAGTGATAAATCAATGTCCTAGAAAGAAGGGTCTGATTTGGAGCATTTGGAGCCGCCAAACATCAGTTGATGTTAAGCTAATTGCAATAAGGCAAATTATCAAGCCAGTTAACATCACTTTAACCTTTTAACCTTTAATATTATATATATATATATATATATATATAAGGACACATAGCTTTAATAGGGAATATGATCTTGTTTTACCCCACACATAGTTCAGAAAGATACTTTGCCAAAATGTTTTGAGCAAAGACAGCTAGCATTAATGTTTTTGGTAGATATTCAATAGCAATTTCTGTAAAGTCTACTATACTTTTTAAGTAATCTACACTCTCAGCAGCTACCTATAGGTTTTATTTCATGGGATGGAAGATGTTACCTTTTGTGTGTGTGTGTGTGCCCTTATGTGATAGGTGAATTCATCTAATTTTTGAATATTTTGCACTTCCTGATTCACTAGTTAGGAAGAAAATGTTTGTGGTCCATTTTCCTTAATCTATGACTTGCTTTTTTTCAGTGGCCATTTGTATATTGGGAATAGTAATTTAGTATCTGTCTTCTGGTGGTATATTAATTGTACATATATTTTCTCAATTCATTGTTTTGTATAAAGTATGTATTAAATAAATATATGTATATACATATATTCATACACACACATATATTCACAGATAGGTTAAATATAACTATTTTCTAAGTCCCCTACCTACTGCCTGAAGGTCTTTCCCTTGACTAAAATTGTACAGATATTCTCATTTATATTCTTATATTTCTATTTATATGTGTTGTTTATATCAAAATTTCATTTCTCTAAATTGAAGTATAGTTGATATACAATCTTATTTTGGTTTCAAATGGACAACACAGTGATTCTACAGTTGGCCACATTTTTAAATCCTCACCCCCACTAGTGTGGTTACCATCAGTCAACATAGGAAGATGTTACAGAATCACTGACAGAATCGTCTCCATGCTGTACTATGGTCCCCGTGACCGACTTACATTATGATTGAGAATTTCAAAGTTTCCTTTAAGGACACTGTCAATGAGGAATCTCCAGAAGCCGATACCCCCTTTGAAGTCCCAGCAGTTTCTACTACATCTTTATGTTTTTCCTTTCTCACACATCATTCTTCCTTTCCAATCACAATATATCTACTAAGTGTTTCCATTTAATATATTTGGAAGTAATAAACCACTTCCCATTTATAACAGTGAATATAATTGTGCTTGACTGTCTTCCAATTAATTAAAATAAACTTCATTCAACAAGCACTTGCAGTCTACTGGGGAAACGTTGCCTGACATATAAATAAGGGTAGATACGTCACAGACTTAATAGGTGAGGTGTTACTCCTGAAACCAAAACTACAGCTTAAAGAGTTAAACTTCATATTAATGGACCAATTTTTTATATACTATTCCTAATTTAAAATTTAAAAATACAAAAAAGAACATGTGGCGGTGGGCAGGGAAATGGCAAAAGGAGGTAGAATGGGTGTGGAGGAAAATTCTCTCTTGTTTTGTCCTTTTGTGGAGGAGAAAAAGAAACAAAATAAGATCTAGTTTTCACTTCCTTCTTTTTTTTCAGTTTGTATGTGGTTACAGGAAGGAAGTGTTCAAGGGAGAAATCAGTTTCCTAAAGTTTTTAGAACCAAGAGACTTCGGGGATTAGATTTTTCTTTTGCTAAAGCAGCAACTGCAAACGGATATTTATATAAAGAGTTGGGTCAAACCTAACAACTTAAGAGTTTATTTTTAGATTTCTGCTTGGCCAAGGGAGAAATATGGTAAATGAACCTGATGTTCTTAAACGGGCATGCAGTTAAGCTCAAAATATTTCAGAACTCTGGCAGGAGGCCCTGAAGAACATCAGCTTTCCTAGGCATTATTAGAAATCCTCAAACAATGACAATTTTACTGCTGGTTTCTTTCCTTCCGGTTTTTTTTTTTTAAACTTACTTTCAGTTTTAGTACTCAAGATCTCTACATTTGCAAAGATGCCAAAATGAAAAGAATAAAGATTATGTAAACATAGAGATATAAACAGAAAGTCCACTAATGTCAGCTGTGTGTGTAGTGGAGCTGGGCTCTCCTGTAGAGAAGCCACCAGCCGCATGTGGCCGCCGAGCACTTAAAATGTGACAAACGGTGACTGAGATGAGCGAAGTGTTAAGTACCCACTGGATTTCAAGGATGAAGCCTGAGAAAAGGAGTTAAAAAAAACATCTCATTCAAAATTTTATACTGACTCCATATTGAAACGGTAATGTTTTTGACATAATCAGTTAAACAAAAAATATGATTTAAATTAATTGCAGCAACTTCTTTTTCCTTTTTTTAAATGTGACTGCAAGAATATTGTAAATTGCATATGCAACTCACAAAATCTTTCTCCTGCTCAGCACTGTAGCGGAGCAGCAAGATTAAGAGCTGGGCTATGACGTAAACCTTCCTGGATCTAAACCAAACAACTCATACAACCAGCCGTACCACCTTCGGCAAGGTATGTAGGCAATCTGTGCTTCAAGTTTCCTTATTTATAAATTGTGAATGATAAAAGATGCCCAATCTCACAGGCTGTGCGAGGATTACATAGGCAGAGCCTGGTGAAATGTGAGTGCTCCCTAAGGGTTCCCACTGGCATTCTTACTCATAGTCCAGAAGCGTGAGATCCATTTTTCTGCATGAAGAAGCTCTCAAAAGGAATGGAAAAAATAAGTTAAAATCAGTTATTTGCTAAAGAGATGCTTTGCCTACCTCCCTTCCCCACCCTACTGTAGAAAATGTATTGCGTTGAGAAGAAATCAAACTGCCCTTCTACGATAGAACATTTTCAAGATTTGTAGATACTCTGCTGGTATTTTTTTACTCTCCAGAGCTGGGCCCAAGGCAGCCAACGCAATTAGACAAAACTTCTGGCGCTTCTTCTGAATCGGCGCACCTTGTCGGAAATAAGCAGGCTGTGATATGTGGATCTGACTTGAAAAAAAATGAAGAACATATATCTGATGCTCCTGAAGTCATGGGAATGAGCCTGAAAATAATCATCATATCTACTTCTATTGAGTGTTTGTCCCTTCTTAAGCATTAGCCTTTACATGTTTCTCTCATTTAAATTTACACAACAGTTCGTTGAAGTAGGGAGCATACTTCCTCCATTTATGGTGAAATGGTGTCTCAAAAAGATTATTTGCCCAATGTCACATATCAGTGGTAAACAGAGATTGACTGATTCTAGCCCATCTGTGTATATATATTGCTAGGGGGTCCTAGTCCTTAGACAACGATCAATAGCTCTGCAGAGCACAGATCACAGTCCTGTGAAAAAAAAGGTTCTCATTTTCTAGCAAGGACACTACATTAGCAAAAAAGAAATAGTTATTGGGATTATTGCTCTGCTTCTGCTTGAGCATGACTTCGGAAATCACATTATTTTTCATAATTTCTTATAGTTCCCTCAGCGAGTGTTTTTGAGTGAAATGAAAGTCCACATTGTGTTTAGCTCTGCTGTCACAGGACATAATACATCCCTGAGCACATAGTTAATGCCTGTTTAATGATTGTTGAATGAATAAGTGTATGCGTATGTGTGCCATGAGTCTTTCTCAACCAGGGCTGGTCATCTGAACCAGAGCACACGAAAATGTTTAGAGTGATTATTTACTCAATTTTCACAAGTATGTACAGAGCGCATACCATTCCGGATCTGCAAAAGAGAAGTTGATTCATTACACACAATGAATCCCTTAGGACATTAGGGGTTTAATTTCCCCCTGAGACCCGGAAAGGACTGTGCTTTGATTGATCCATGGTCTTCGAGGACTACCTTGACTTCAGCTAAGGGTGACAAAGTACAGCCTGGGACAAATGTTTTTACAAGTTCTCTGAGCTAAGAATGCTCTTACATATTTAAAGATTTACTAAGAAAACACACACACAAAAAAAACTATGCAGCAAGCCCTATGTGGCCTGCAATGGCTAAAATATTTACTCTCTGACTCTTTGCAGAAAAATGTCTACCTCTACTTGAGGTCACAGTGGCTAACTATCCAGGTGGAGCAGGATTAACTTACCTGATAATATTCGAAGCGCTCTCTACCATCCAAGAGTTTGGTCCTCAAACTCTTTCCTAGTAATCTATCTTCAGGTATAAAATTCTTATTTATTTTCATTTGTCCGCAAGCACCAAAACACAGCCTGGCCACCTGCAAAGATCCATGTGACCTCCAGGAACAAGACGTAGAAGGCAATGCCTTGGACTTGAAGTTTCATGATACAAGTTCCACTATTAGCTCTTATTAAGTGTTGCTTACCAGGTGAGAAAACTGAGCAGGTCAGAGTTAATTTCCTCATTTAGCCATCATGCATACAGCAGATCCCTATCAATAATGCTTTTCTGTAAATAGCATGTGTATTTTGTTTTCTATAGCTGTGTAACAAATGACCCCAGAATGTAATGATTTAAAACTACATTTCTTATCTTACAGTTTTGTGGCCTAGGATTCAGTGTGTGGCTTAGCTGACAGTATACACTCAGCCCAGCACCACTCCCAGTATACAGTCAATATACCGTGTCAGCTGGATCTACAATCTCTCAAGATGTCAGCTGAATCTACAGTTCAGCTGGGATAAGAGCTGAATCCCACACTCACTCTCTGGTTGTTGGCAGGATTCGAGTTCTTGGCAACTGCTGGTGCACCACTCCCATGGCATCTGGCTTCGTCAAACTGAACAGGCAAGAGAGAGCAAGAGAATGCCAGCAAGACAGAAGCCACAGTTTTTTGTTAACTAATTTCAGAAGAGATATCTTGTCACCTTTGATGGATTCTGTTCATTAGAAGCAAGTCACTAAGCCCAGCCCACACTCAGGGAGAGGAGATTATGCATGAAAAGGAGAAGGTGGGGATCTTTGAATGTCATCTTAGGAGTGGGCCTTGCCGCCCCATGACTGGCTGGGGGTGTGGAGTACGTACAGTGGAATCACACAGAAGTAAATGACACTCTTCTTCTGTGACACACAAACCATATTTCCTTAGACAATTTATCTCTGAGTCTCTGTTCTTCCACTATAAGACCGAGGTAATAACACCTACCTTGCAGAGCATATGAAAAGATTAAATCACATAACAAAGTGAGCACAGTACTTAGCATGCAGTACAGACTCAACAAGAGTTATTATTTTCCGTCTTACTTGCATACCAATCTATCAAACTAGAAATCAATACTTTGCAAACCACAAAGCTCTGTGCAAAGGGAACAGCATCCAGAAATGATGTTGCAAAGAAAAAAAAACAGCACTGCAATGAAAATAATATTTAGCCCTTTGTGCTTCACAAAGTGTTTTTGCCTGCTTTATTTTAGTTGATCCTCACAAGCTCTGTGATGGTAGTTTGGGGCTTATCTAGACTCATATTTGTAAAATGGGAAAGCTAAGAAACAAGACGGTGAAATGATTTACCTGGGATTGCCCAAGAAATCAGTATATCAGGAAAGGGTCTCTGACCAGATGGGGAAAGGATTAGGGATGGCCAATGGTGTCCACAGGCTGAAGCCAGAAGTACCCGTGAGGCAGGGGACCCATGCTCAGGAACCCACAGGGTCCCCCACCCCACAGGGTGGAGCAAACCCATGAGCCAACCGCCAGGACGCAAGCAGCAGTCAGGGCTTGCCCAGACTAGAGCTCAGAGCAAACAGCTGATGGAAAAAATGCAGTTAGGAAATGACCATGTCTCGAGTGCCGAAGAGCAAGGCACGGGACGGCCAGGCGAACAGGCGGTCAGGGGCCCTGAAGCAAGAAGCAGCGAAGGGGATTTCCAGCAGAGGGAACGTTCAAGTGAAGCTTTGATGGCCCAGCAGGGAGAAGGGGGGAGCCGCCAGGAGCACGGAGCTCACGTCTGGGGGCACTGGTGCGTGCAGAGGGGCACCATAGGCTGAGGGCTTCAGGAAGGATACCCCCTTAAACTGAGTTACCAAGGAGCCAGACCCTTCCCTGGCGGTCACCTAGTTCTGGAGTAAATTGCTTTCAAGCAGGGGGATGATAAGATCAGATCCAGTGATTTTAGAAAAATCACTTGGAGTCAGAGGAAAGGATAGAATAAAGGTGGTAAGATTTCAAACAAAGTAATTTATTCCCAGAGAAGGTCCTGAGAAAAGAGCCTAATCAAAACAATCTAATTTTATGCACAATTTTCCATGTAGGCTTTATACCTGGTTCCATTTTTAACCTACTGTTAGTGATTGCCGTTACAGACACAGCTGTTTTACGCTGGAAACTGCTTTAATTGGTACCCTGGATTATGAACCTTCCTCAGAATGTGAGCTATTGTCATTACTTTCACTTATTCACTAGCCTCCTAGAGATACACTGTACTGGGATTTGACGACATTATATTTTTTCTGTCATTTACAGTTGAGTTTATATTCTATTTCAGAAATGGTAACTGAAAAATATTTTGTTTTTATGGAAATAATGAGCCATAGAAGAATTTTTTATCGTTTGTTGATGGCATCTGCCAGTCTGCTTGGCAGAACATGACAATAAATGTCTTTCTTGCTTTATGGAAATGAAAAATTTAAATGCAACTTCATTTTAAAATGCATTTGAAGGGAATGAGATACGTATCAGACACAGTGCAAGCACAGTAAAGCGAACGAGCCTTTTTTACAGCCTGTGCAGGACTTCTTTGGTAGTAAGAAAGAAAAGGCCCACAGATGACCAGCTCACATTCACAGAGTTGAATCTGAAATTCTATGGCATTCGGGAATGGGGTGGCTGTTTTTGTGGGTGGAGGGAGAAAGAGCGGCTCAGTGTTTAGGAAACAGGGATTCTATCACGGATGCACAGTTTATGCCACAGATGACCCTACACTTTTGTTTTTCCCCAGTTATGTTGTTAATTTCCAGAAGCGCTTCATTAGTGCAGTATTTTCTCATTCTCTCCCCAAGCTCATGGTAGAGGAACCGTCCCCTGACCCCTTAGAGTTAAAAGTACCTGTGAATTCACTTCGGTCACTGAGCTGTAAAAAAACAGTGACACATATTACAGACAAGGGCAAGTTACAAGAGGCAGCGGCTCTTGCATCCCTCTGGCATGGCCAGGGGGCATGTCCAGGACGGCGTCTGCTCCAGCAGGCCTGGGCCCTGAGCCACTGCAAGAAGCCCACTGTAGACGGCCATGGTGGACATGCAGCAGGAACAAGAAATGGATGTCTGATTTGATTGCAGCGAGACTTGAATGATACCCAAAGGGGCCCCCCACACGGAGCTCCACCGCGGCAGACAAGGCTGCAGCGACGCTGGCTCTGGGCTGGGCAGTGCACGGCGAGCAGACTGTTAGCGGAGACAGGAACAGTCGCACCAATGGCAGAACATTTGGTTAACCTGCTGCCCGGCATGACCTTACCCTTTGGCTCAAAGAGTGAGAAATGTTCCTTTCAATGTTAGGTCCGAACTGAAAAAAAATTACCAAAGAGAGTTTAGGTGATGCAAACAACTTTACTTCACGCTCCACTGTCTCCTCCCAGAGAGCTGCAGAAAGGAGCAGAGGCAGAGACCTTTAAGGGGCAAGGAATAAAGAACAAGGAAAAGGCAAATAGGAAACATCTGGCTGGGGCCCCAGAGTCAACCTTGTATGGGGTGAGAAGACCTGGTGCTCAGGGACCAGCGTGGTGTCTGGGCACACTGCCCCGCTGTCCAGCTGAGCATACCCCAGGGCATGGACGCTGGCTAAGCTGCAGTTTGCTGACATGCACCCCGGGCGGCAGTGGCTCCATCTTGGACCTAGAAACTTATTTCCACAAACGTAGTCCCCTGACCCTTCCCTTGGTGTCCTCGGAGCATCTCTTTGACAGAGGGAGCCTATCAGTGTGACTTGACTAAAGGAAACATGCAAAGGGCCTGGCATGAAACTGGATTTTCCAGTTTAACAAGACATCTTATCTACCTCAGCCTGTTGTCCACCGTGAGGATTCCTTTTAGATTCCTGGTCCGTCCCCAGGAGGCGGGGCTGGTGGGATAGTGGGAGTCACTGTTAGCTCAGCACACCCTCTGCTCAAACATCCTCTCCAAGACCAGCTTTCACCTGCTCTCGGGCAAGGCCTCTTATCTCCTGGACGTTTGATGCTGGAGTGACACTCCCTAATCAGAGGACTCTGGCAGCTGCCCTTTAGGTTCAGAGGAGACCTACGTGAGCCGTCCATATACACTGGCTGGGACAGGAAGGGCTGGGTCCTTTCCTTATTGTAGTCTTTCGGCACCTTAAATCAGCCTACGCCCAAGGCTTTCTCTCTATAAACACCTGCTCTAGTGGTTAGGAACTCAGACTCTGGGGAGAAACTAATAGTTTTCAAATCTTAGCCCTGTTGCTCACTAAATGAATGAATTTAAACACTTACTTAATCTCTCTGAGGCTCATTCTTCAGGGATAGTAACAGTATTAATCTTCTAGGGTTGTTGTGAGGAATAAATGAGATAATATGGCAATATGCTTACCTCAGTGATGGGGATTTATTAAATTTTCAATATACATTAGTGTTATTATTATCTTTGCCATCATCATCCCAGTTCTTTCTGAAACCAGAGCTTGAAGAGTTTACAAATTTCTTATAGAATCAACCCAGGAATGGAACATGTGGAGCTATTTCTGGGGAGTGTGCACAGATGATCATCAATAACCAAATAAACATCTTTCTGTATTTTCTCTGTCAATCAAAATATTTGCTTCCATATATACTAAAAATTAAAATTAAACCCATGACTCCTAAAGCAATGCTTTATAAATATTTAAGGTGCCCACCTGATAGTAACTCTATTGTTTGTTGCTATAAAATGTCTCTAAGCTTAGCTAATGCTAAGCCTTCGGCTTTCTTGTAACTAAGAGCTGTCTCTGTAACTGCTGCTGTGTTATTTAAAGTGAGCGCTCTTCGGTTTAGAATTCACTATAGAATAGTTGTTTGTAGATTGTTCTTAATAACAGTGCAATTTTGTTCTCAACCTATGATTCAGGGACAAGGTAGAGCATTAAAAGGCGGAAGAGGAGCCATAAATCCTGATACTGGGCGAGAGAACTGGGATATTCAAGCAGATGGACCCTAGACATCTCAGATTTGCCATCTTCTGAGTCCTAATCATTATTTTCAGCAGCAGAGAGAATTAAAAATAGTTGGATTTCTACAATGGCTAAAAAGGTAGTTTATACAACATCTTTCTATTTGGGTTGAGAACGGAAATATAAATAAAAGCAAAGAAACCACCAAATAGTTAAGATCCACTTGAGCAGAAATAGCCACTTCCGAGTTCAGCTTATTTACAAGGCCCATTGATGACCCTAGCCATTCTAAACTACCCCTTCATTTGATTCTTTTTTCTCCTTAAAAGACAAAAACCAAACCAAAAAAAAAAAAACCAAAAACAAAGGGGACAGTTATATAATCTACACACGGGAAGAGTAACCATTTTTATTTCTTATTGCAATTTGAATTGGAAAGGAACACTTAGTCCTGGAACATGGTAATTCATCTCCTGTTTCTTTGTCTGCCGCTGCAAGTAGGAGAAAGCTCAGAACCATTGCCGATCAGAAAAGACAACAACGCTGTACTAGCTTCTCATTTGTTTACTGGCAGATCACAGCCCACTTCCCTCCAATCTCAGACATCCTGTTAGCTCTTAGAGGCTCCGTCCAGGCATACCTCGAATACTTCAGAAAAGAAAGGGCATCTAAAAAGGCTCCTCTTTTTGTCTGTGAACATGTCACAGTTGAGTTGCATTTTTAAAATATTCTCCACCCTTGTTTGTTTCTTAATGCGGTACCAAGATGTGATTTGTACAGAAGCCGAAACTAGAGACATGCTGAGTATGTGAATACCGAGGACGTGGATTCCTTAGCAGCAACAGGCATGTGAAAGTCAAAACTTCCTTTCCTTCTCATGTGACCTTTTTTCAAAGCAATTCAGATAGAGGACAAAGGAATTGAATTCCAAGCACCCACAGCGTTCATGAATTGCTAAGCAATGATTCACAGGGCACCCGAATTACTCTGGACTGCTTGAGCATTTTATTAGGGAAATCGCTTTGTATTTAAATTTTCCTCCCCATTTTGTACGTCAGTTTTCCTTATCCCTATGGGCCACTTTTCCACCACTCTGAGAAAATGTAAATAGGTAGAGCGCTCCTAAATAGCGATGAATATACGGACTTTGGAATGTTAGCATTAGAATATTACACACATATGAATACATACAATATTCATAACTATTTGTTCCCTTTGGATGCACTAGATACCAAGTACTTACGAAAAGGTTCATTTGATAATTGAAGTGTTATTTACTCAGAATAAGTAGTGTAATTTAATTTGGGGGGCAAGTCCTTAAATGATATTTTAGGGACACTGAAGGTGCATTCATTCTGATCACTGATTTATCTTGACCACGCATCCTAAGAACAGTGTTATATATGGCTTACGAATCGCATTTGCCGGTTAGTCCTCAAAGGCTGAATGGTGGTAACTTATTTAACAACGCCCTGGTAAGCTGGGACTTGGTGGTGCCATGCTCTTTTGCCTTCAGTGAAATTGCAATGTTCTTGAGGACCATCGACAAGGCCACCTAGGAACTCTTTCTCCTTATAGCATCTGAATCATCATACTTCTATGAAGTGCCTTTGTAGTGGACATGTTGCCAACAGACGCAGGACACGGGGGGACTGAGGACCTGTGAACTCTGTGTGTTATAGGGCTAATAGTGACTCTCCTTGTGCGTTATTAGATGCAAACCTAGCAGAGTGTTTCACGGTAGTTGCCCAATAAATACTAGACTTTGCTTTTTGCTGTACACGACTTTCATTCTGACATTTTACGTACAATGTATGCTGATCTGTTCATAGTCTAATGACTCTCCTGGACTCAGGGTCTGACACAGAACCTTCCCATTCAAGTGGGCCCCAACTCCTATCCTCCTTGATGGTAAGGGAGGGATGAGTCCTAATAAAAGTGTAAAGACCTCCCGTGGATTCACTCTCTGGCCACTTTCTCCAGTGCCTGTGACATGGTGTCACCGAGACAATCTGAGCTGCCCCAGCAAGGAGGGTGGCTTCCCACGCCTCAGGCATACAGTGGAGATACAAACTCAGCAGTGTTCTCATTTTTCCAGCACACATGGCCTCGGAGCAGAGAGAGGAGCTGGGCTTTGGAGGTCATTTCTCAGCCTAGCTGTGTGTCCCACAGTGTGTGTGCACTGGGCACCCTCAGTGAGAACTGGTCCTCAGTTTTAGTGCTGCTGGTCCTACGACCATTCCCTTTTCTTTGAATCAAGGCTGCTCTAGAAGGTAGGCACCAGCTGGCACTGCCGATTTGACTAGTCCTGCAGACACTAGAACTGAAGTCACGAGGAAAGTACTTGCCTGACTTTTGGAATATAGCCAGAGGAAGACGGTGGGGAAAATGTACAGAGAGATAAGCAATTGCTTGCCAAAATATTTTAGTACTTATTTGTGGTTGACTCGGCTGGTCAGAGAAAGGTGACTCCAGGAGTTAGGAGTGACCTTGGCT